CCCCAAAACCCCAAAACCCCAAAACCCCATCAATACATTAATTTATCTGAGGATGAAGGGTACATTATCTTAAATCAAATTATTATAGAAAATATATATTGCTTGTTAATTCTTATATTGCCAAGCTTCCAATAATTAATATTATTAAATATTTGATATTTTGGGAAGAAAATCAGTTTAAATCCTCATGAGATTGATGATCTCAGTCTACTAATGTGTCAGCCAAAAGCCTTCTCTTTTCTTTATTCAACTCATATCTGTAATTGAAATATTTGAAATGCAGTGATTTAGATATTGCTAGAATTATAAGTCCTACTTCCATCCAGGGTCCTGCAGACCAGTCCTTAATGTTATGCATTTTTCCAATTAAGATGACCCATATTACAAATCCAATGATGAAGAACGGAAAACTACCTTTCATTGGAAACTAGATAGAAGTTAATAGCTATGAATCTGATCTTACAGTATATCTATAGTTAGAATCTTTACCTCTAAGTATCATAGAAGTTAGATATATACAAAGTCCCATCATTAAACCACTTAGTCCATTACATATAAGTATCTGGTAAATATATTTTAAAAGATAAAAGATACAGTTATAGCAGCCGCAAAATATCTTCCCGCATAGTCACATAATTTATCAAGCTTGGCATTACTTGCAAATCTCTTTATTTAATCATGACAATAGTTGTCATCAATTGCACTTTCAGCGAGATCTAATTTGAAATCAGAATTGTCTTCATTTTTCAAGCCTGTCCCTACTTCAGAAAAATAGTTAAGAAGATTAATCTATCCATCATCTAGCATTCCATTATAGTCAACAGGATAATTAATCCAAGCAGTAATTGATAGTTACAGAACAATGACTATGAACATCATACAGTTAATCAAAATATTGATCTTCAAATGGAAGGCGTTAAGTGCTACATTTTTCTCAACAACTGTATTGACTCTTATTCTTTGTCTGGATGATGGAATCTTTGAGCTTAAAGTATGCCTCTCCTCTTGTATATCATCACTTTAAAGCAATGAGTTTTTAGGTATTTCCAGATCAGCATCTTAAAAATCATGCATACTTGTTGTACCAAAGTTAAGTAATCTTGTAATAGGCAATTAATCAAAAGAGGTTTTGGCTTCATCTGGACTTTCAGCTATAATCATCATGTTAAGCTATTGAGATTTTTTAGAACTTGAAGTTAACTTTATATTCTAAGGTGTTTTAGATTGATTTGCGATTATATATTTTCCATCTGCTTTCTCAAATGCCACTGCCTTTTCAATCTTAATTGATTCCTTTTGATTTGGATATTCAATAAACCTATCCTCCTCTTCGATAGTATCTAGTCTGTATGTCTATCTTTTAAACTCTTTCTCTGTAACGGATCTATCTCTCTCTTACTAGTATTCATCTTTTTCTTCATACTGATAGTCTAGACGATTTTGATTTTCTTTGCTGTATATTGCATCTTAAAATTCATCATCACTTCCATCTTAGTCATTGCAGGTTTTGAATGATTCATTTCTATTAGAATTTTGATTATAAAAGTTTGAGAACTTTGATCGTCTGCTAGTCTGGGAAGGCTACTTTTCTCTTGATCCAGCAGGTATGTAGGTGCTACTATTCAAGGAATAAAATTCAGACTGTCTGTCCTCGCTATTATTATCCATTATTTTTGTTTTATCAATTTATCACTATAAAACTCATCCATTAGCTATTATAATCATTAGTTATCTATTACAAATTATTTAATACACAGCTCATTTTTATTGCGATTTTCATCAGAATGGGGTTTTGGGGTTTTGGGG